GTATAAGTATATATATAATAATTAAATATATATAAGTTATTAATATACATTAATAATTTAAATTATTAATAAAAATAATTTTCATGTATAATGTAAAATAAAAAACCTATATGAAATTTATAGAATATAAAAGGGAAAAAGACATAATTTCTTATTATTCTGGAAAATTTAGAAAAAAATTTTATGCTGGACGATATTGTTTAATTAACTATTGTTACTTATTTTTATAACTGCTATCATATTTTTTATAATGTACAAAATTGTTAGAAGAATAATTGTTCAAAGATAGAGGGAATATATTTTATCTTTTTAAATTTCATACAGATATTATATCCAGCTTTTTATTAAACTATGGATAAAATTATTCGCGATGTACGAATAAATAAAAAACCTTTGACTTCGCAATCTTCAAATAATAGCAACCATTCATATTATAAAACACATCAACTTATTGCAACAAAAACAAAAAACAATGAGAAAACAAATAATGACAATGATATTATTGATTACAAAAATATTTCACTCTCTATGACAGGTAAATTATTATTGTAGCTGCCATTAAAATGATACATATATATTTTTATTATTAAGATTCTGCGAGATACGAATTTGTTTCTGTACAGGAGAAATAAGTTCAGGTTTCATACATAGAAACAATTTAACGAAAAAGCAGACTACTGACGTCATTTTTGTAGAAGATACAGAAAACGTCGATGATGAAGAGTTTATTTCAAATATGAAAACGATCATTGATAAAAATTATAAAACGTAACATCAGTTAACAATTAATTTGCATATGGATAATTTCTTGCGTATAAACATATACTTTTTTATTTAAGTCGATGTTTTAATTGATATGAACAGGCAAGATAAAGAAAATTTTAGCATAAAAGATTTGCAAAGCAAATCGTATATATCAAGAAAAAAAAAGTGTGCATTCAGCGACGAAGATCAAAATCTGATGAAACGATTTAAAAAATCTGTCAACGAAAGGAAAGCTTGGTGTACAGAAGCTTCACAAAAGTTACAGCAGCCTAAGTACGCCGTTATTTCTGTTAGCAATCACAATTGCTTAACAACTTATACTACTCCACAAATTATCCCATTTATGAAATATAATAACAGCGATATGAATTCCAGGTATATATTAATTTAGATATTTACAATCAATCGATCGTTTGATGTGTACTGTTTTCAGCAACTCGAATGAACTGATTTTCAATCTAGCTTCAAAAATGCAAAATAACGATGGGTTGAGAGAAATATCAGGGAATGCAAAAACTGTTACCGAAATAGAAATTGAGCGGCTAGTTTACAACGAAATGCAGTACTTTACACCTCCCCAAAAAGACGACATGTAATTCATGAACTTATCGTTTAGTTTATATAAATTAAAATAATTTTATAATATACATCGTAAAACATTTTGTCGTATTAATAGAAAAATAGCACATTTTAAAAATAACAATTTTTTTAGTAGAGCATTTTTGAAATGTTTTCTGAATTGGAACAATGTTTTATTAGTGATTATACATAATTTCACTTCTCTCTTTCCATGTTATAATTATATATATTTTCAATTATGAGTTCAAAAATACAGCCATAATCTTAAAATATAATAAAATATATAACGAAATTTCAATTCTTATTTAAATTGTGATATTTTTCCATATAACCAATGTATCGACAATATGTGTCGCATATATTTCGACAAAAATATATATTATTATAATAGTCTTTAAGATTAATTTCTTTTTATCATCTCAAAAATAATTTTTTGTAATACTTGTATCACTTTTCTATCAACGCAACGTTTTGTCAACGATTTGTTGTAGTATTAAAATTATATAAGCTGTATTTATTAAGAACATCTTATCATTTATTAAATACATAAACTACTTACATGTTTTTTGAAGTCTTAGAATTTTGATTTTATTTGTAAGTAATATCAATACTCCGAAAATAAACGATTGTAAAGAAAATTAATTCATTTAAGTTAACAACATATTTGATATATCTTGTATAATATTGTAGTTTGATATAACTAAATACGTTTGTTATATGGAATTTAAATATTCCCGCGAGATGGGTTGACAAAGTTCTCACCAGATGACGCGAAAATAATCATAACCTATCAAAGAGGCTTTTAAAAACGTAAAGAGATTAAAATTTAAATGCGTATATTAAAAATGATTATTTCCATGCAAATTTAAATAAATATTTGTATACTCTGTACAATACTATTAAATTTATTTAACAGCGAGTGCTACAATTGAAAGACACTTGGAGTAATCAAAAGCGCAATGAGTGAATTTAAATTACATCATTTAATAGTGCAGTTGATTGAATTATTGGGGTAAGCGGCAAAATCCATATTTTGTAACTCGCAAAATTATGTAGATTTAATGAAATTTGTCAAGTCGCATTATTTTACATAAAACATTATTGCTCGCAACAAATATGTGTATTTTTTTAGTTCGGAATCTGCTCCGGAGAGACACCTGGAAAAGCTACAGAAAGAAAGCTTGACAACAAATACGTTAAATACGGTTGCTCCTCACAGCTGTATTCAACACCTTGCCAAGATTTCGTCCGTACCAGAATTATTTATACAAAAATATGAAGAACTAAAATCAAAAAAGTTAGTTGCGTTATATAAAGCAGATATTACAATTTACAGAAGAAAAATAACAAAAAATATATTTTTTCAGAGTAGATTTACTTGGTCCATTTGTACAGACTCTAGAATTGATATCTCAAGATGAGGAACTGAAGAAATACTTGTCAAGATCCCTACCGAGAGCCACGACTAGTTCTTTAAAGGATCCGACTATTACACAAGAAGACTTGCCAAAGGTCTTGTATAATATACAAGTACAATATCTTTAATAAAATTTCCATCAGTTATATAACTTAATTACTTTGTCTCTACATAATATATACTGGTATATGTATACACATTTAATTTTTTTAATTTAATAGATTTGCAAAACTGTTATTAAAGCTGCTGTAGAAGGAGGGAAGAAATTAAATCAGCAAGTTTGTTCAATCAGTAAGAAAAGTGATGGTACTTCAGTGAAACATAATTGGGTAATAGAACGTCCACGCATAACTTGGGATTTTCACAGTGACACCACTGTAGCACTTTATCAAAGTTTGTAAATAATTTTTTCTCTCTTTCAAACACAAGATTGAAAAACGATGAAATGTGCATGTCTAAAATATTTAATGTTTATAGAAGTTGTACCAATTGTATCTCAGGAGTCTATTCTTCTTTGGGATATTTTATATTGTTTGAAAGGAGTAGATGGATCGTATATTGTTTCGGAACCGTTAACGAGTCCTTATGGCGTTAAAACTTTCAATATATCACCGGATGTTGGTAAGAAACACCGTCAGAAATTTTAATCTCGAGTAACAATCATTACAAATATGAAGTTAAATGTTTTGAATTTTGCTGTTAGGTATATCATTTAAGCAATTAGCGCAACAGATATTACCTTTAGCTTCTTATTACTCCATGACAGTGAGATTTGTTGAAGAAAAGGTCTCACCAGATGATGGACAAGTCAATCATGCTCTGAGAGGAGCTATACGATCTCTACTGAAGGATTACTTGGTATAATAAATTGCTACCTACAATTTGACAAGACAGAACGTCAAAGATTTGATATATTTTTGTCTCTATATCTTAATTTACATCAATTTTGCTGTCTTTTAGCTCTTTGTTGTGCAACTTGAAACAGAACACATTCATGGTAAATTAAGTTTGCAGAAACTATGGTTTTATATTCAGCCTACTATGCTTACAATGTCCATACTTTCTCAAATTACATCCACAATATGTAAGGTTAGTCTAAAACATCAGTTAATTAAATAATTTTAATTAGCCTTATTTCTAAATATATATGTAGAATATTGTAGAATATAGATTATGTTTTCTATAACTAAAACATTAGAAGTATAATATGATGTAAAGCATTTGATATTAGGCGAATGCCAGAGGGGGCAAAGTATTGAGCCTTTTGCATGAGCAAACATTAAACAATATCAGTGGTGAAGCAAAGTCTAAAGAATTGTGTTTATATCTGATGCAAGCGGCGAGCATGCCATATATGCAAATTTTAGAAAAGTGGGTTTACAAAGGAGTGATATGCGATCCATATCAGGAAGTTAGTATTAAGTCAAATTTTTTTATGGTGTATGTTATAAATGATACATTCATACTTATCCATTATTTATCAGTTCTTTGTAGAAGATAATGAGTTAATTCAAAGGGAAGAACTTCCCGTGGATTATTCTGCAGATTATTGGGAAAAGAGGTATACTATGCGATTAGAAAGAATACCTGTATTCTTGAATGAACATGCACAAACTATACTTAGAACAGGAAAATATTTTAATGTGATTAGACAATGTGGTATGTTAATGTAAAATAATATATTAGTATTTATTATATTATTAAAAGATAAATAGAGCATTGGTTTACATAATAATCGTTAATCATATTTTTGATCAATTAGTTTGCAAATTGTCAGTTTACAAATTATTTTATAATTTTAATAAATCTATATGTAGGTAAAACAGTGCAGTGGGGAAAACAAGAACCATTAAGCTATCAGTATCAAGGGCAGAAATACATAGCTGCCATTGATAGGGCATATTCAGAAGCTGCCAGAAAATTATTAGAGGTACTTATGAAGGAAAATGATCTGATGGGTAGACTACGTAGTGTAAAGAGTTATTTTCTTCTTGCTCAAGGAGATTTCGTGGTAAGCTAATAAGTTACATGCTGTTAAATATTAGTTTCATTTTATTTATTTTATTTAAAATTTTATTAGATATTTATTTATGTCATGTTTTTGGATGAAAAGATTTACGATAATTATAATTTAAATAGATACATAGATAATATATTATGTACATTTTGAGATAACAGTAATATAAGCTTTAATAAGAATTTAATATTAGTGCTTTAAAGAGTTTAAAGTAAAAGTCTTCAACATCCTGATTTATATTTTTATCACTACTGCAAATATATTAACATTTCATTCCTATTGTTTATGCAATTTTAAACAGGGATGAAATATACGGTGTTCCCAAAAAAGAATCATAAACTTTAAGGGCATAGAATAATAAAAAATAAGTCAAAGAGTCCGAATAAATATAGATCATTTTTACCGCTCCTTTTATGAATTGACTAGACTTTTTTATGCTTAAAATTGAATTCCTTTTCTTTAAAAAAAAATGTTAAGAATCTACTAAATATTTATTTCTCAACATTTTTATTATTCTTTATATAAATATTTGTCAAAATATTTGTCTAATTTTCCGTTAGGTCCAACTTATGAATCTTTGTGAGGCCGAATTGAACAAGAGTATGTATGATATTGTTCTACATCGTTTAGCATCTCTTCTCGAAGTTGCTTTGCGAATGTCCACTGCAGATTCAGATCCCTATAAAGATGATCTGAAGCCGGAATTACTTCCATACGATCTACAATATCAAATGTTCAGAATACTCTCTATTCAAACTAGAGATGAGAAAGGTATATTTCATTAAAAATATTATATATACTTATATAGTTATATTTAAATAAAAAAAATTAATATAACAAAAATTAATCTTCCTTGCAGAGTACTGCTTTCAAGCAGGTAAAGTTTTAACCGGTTTGGAAGCTTTTGTCTTCAATTACGATGTTAAATGGCCAGTTTCTCTAATTATTAATAGAAAGGCCATAGCTTGTTATCAAATGTTATTTAGGCATCTGTTTTATTGCAAATATGTTGAGAGACTTTTATGCAGGTAAATAATTTTAACAGATTTATACGATTTATATTCATAGCAAAATTTTAAAATAAGAAAAGTAAAATAATAAAATTTTTTAATTTGATGGATTATAGAGTATGGATCAGCAATAAAATAGCGAAGACTTTCACGCACGAAGTGGCTATGGCTTACAGACAGGCGTTTTCATTACGACAGAGAATGCTTGATTGTATACAACATTTGGAATATTATATGATGGTAGAAGTCGTGGAACCAAATTGGTTAAAATTTATAAATAAGATGAGCAAGGTGATGATTCATTTCTCATTTTTATTAAAAAAATACAATATTAATATTAATTTTTTATGTCAATAAAATACATATATTTTATATTTGATTTTACATATTTATTTGATAAACTAATACCAGGTTAGTAATGTTGATGATGTACTGAGCGTGCATCAAGATTTGCAAGATAGTTATTTGAAGGAATGTATGTTAACGGACCCTGATCTTCTTAGCTGTATCACCGGTATATGCGCCATATGCGTAGAATTCTGCAATTTTATGCAGGTGAACCTTTTGTTATAT